GGGGAACTGTTACGGAAAACATTTGATGTGTAACATTATATTAGATCCATGCTGTACAGTAGGACTTTCTATATAGGCCGTCTGTCTCATTAATGGTAATCTAACAATAAAAGAAAAGATCGCTGCTCTTGATTGAACTGCTTTTGTAGTTTTTTTTGTAATTATTATTATTTAATCAATTTATTTGTAATAAACACACTGAAGTGATTTTTACATTTGATTATTTGTTTTTGTTACTTGAATGAAAAAAAAATTAAGTGAAAAAAAGTGTAAAGAAATACTCTTTGAGAGAAGCAGTCAATCAGCGGAAGCTAAAAGCAGATCGTAAGTGTATTTATTTCTTGTCTCAGTGTTTAGCGCAGTTGTCATTGCTAGGAAACGCTTGTTTTGTTTACTGTGTTGAGACGTGCTGAAGTTGTGTTTGGTCTCGTACTGTATCGCATACCTTGTCAGTGTCATGCGCTTAGCCCTTTTTTGTGATAAACAGTAAAGTGTGTTCAGCTGAATTCAATTTCCGGTTTGTCAAATGGGTATAAAAAAGGATAGAACACCGCGGCAGCCCTCATGTGAAGACCGAAGAGTGTAAAGACCATCGACTTCACAGTGCAGGGACACAGACAAGGGACATAAGTATCGGTTTTGACTCAACCTCTTTTTTTATACCTTTCTTCACTTCTGTTTCAGTTTTTATGACTAACTCTTACTATGTGTTTCCATATCCCTACTATTACTACTACTCACAAAACACGCATCACACACAATAGGCAGCGCAATCCTAACAACATGTGCACTTTGCCTATGTCTGCTAATACACTACTTTCTTTTTCTATTAGTCTCTGGAATTGCCAGTCTGCAGTAAACAAAGCAGATTTCATTACATCTATTTCTAGTCATTCAAGACTACACCTCGTGGACCCCCAGGACCACAAGGTAACTTCTTGGATGAATTAGATGTGCTGCTTTCAACCTTTCCTGAGGATGGTACTCCCCTAGTTATGCTTGGAGACTTCAACATCCACCTAGATAAACCTCAGGCTGCAGAATTCCACACTCTGTTTGACTCTTTTGATCTCAAGAGAGTCTTAACTACGGCTACTCACAAATCAGGCAACCAACTAGACCTTATTTACACACGACACTGCTACTATCATAACAAAATTAACAATCTGTCAAGCACATCTTACCAGCAAACATACACTCGTTCACATCACTCTTCACTCACTGAGGCAGAAGTCTCCAAACTCATCCTTTCTAATCATCCTACTACTTGTCCACTTGATCCTATTCCATCTCATCTTCTTCAAGTCATTTCTCCTGCAGTTGTACCTGCACTCACTCACATCATTAGCACATCCCTTCACACTGGTGTTTTTCCCTCAGCATTTAGACAGGCTCATATAACTCCACTACTTAAGAACCCCACCCTTAACTCATCTCTTTTAGAGAACTACAGACCGGTTTCCCTTCTTCCTTTCATTGCAAAAACACTTGAACGACCTGTGTTCAACCAAGTCTCTGCCTTTCTCACACAGAACAACCTCCTTGACAGCAACCATTCTGGTTTCAGAAGTGGACATTCAACCGAGACTGCCTTGCTCTCAGGTGTTGAAGCCCTAAGACTGGCAAGAGCGGATTCCAAATTTTCAATACTTATCTTGCTGGATCTGTCCGCTGCTTTTGACACGGTTAACCACCAGATCCTCCTGTCAACCCACTTGCACTCTATTTATTTACTAACTGCTTGTTTTCTTAAAAAAACAAGAACACTTGCTTCTCTTATCTTTTTGCATTCTGTCTATTTGTTTTCTTTTTTATTTATTATACGATTATAATTCTGATTTTCTGACTTCTGACTTCTGATTAACAAAAGCAAAAAAGGCCTCTAACACTAGCTTGCTCTATTCTTTTTCTATTCTATCTGTTTTCTTTTTATTTATTATATGATTTAAAAAAAACATGCTACGTGTACTACATTAAGCTTACTGAGGCTTGTTATAGCACTTGCATATCATTGCTCTTTTGTTGATTTTGATTGCTTCCATTGTCCTCATTTGTAAGTCACTTTGGATAAAAGTGTCTGCTAAATGTCTAAATGTAATGTAATGTAATGAATGCTTTTGTTTAGATTAGTAAAATAAAAAAAGTAATGCACTAGGTTTGTTTCTTTCCTATATTTGTTCTACTGTTCTTGTTTTTTTTGTGCATCTGTTCTTATTTTTAATAACAAAGATAAAATAAAAAGTGCCTATATTGTGATTATTAATATAGTAATTAATATTAAGAAAGGAAGTGGAAGAAACAATGCAACGTTGCTAAGAGATTTCGTTTTGGAACCTTCAGAAAACTTCAACGGGTGTAGCTCAGTCATTTTTCGTCCGATTCCAACAAATCATACTGTATATCGTTTTGAAGGTGATGTATTTTTTGAAGAATGTAAAAATGTAATTTTTAAGAATGTAAAAAGTTATTTTCGAAAATTTGCTCATTGTGACTCATTTTGCCAGCACTGGTCACAAATTGTTTGAATGAATGATTCAATGACTCACCCAAAGACACTTACATGTTTCATTCCTGAATGAATCAGTGTTTTTGAATAAATTGGTTGAATGAATGATTCAGTGACTCACTCATGAAGACCATCACAGTTTCATTCCTGAATGAAGCAGTGTGAAGCAGCAACTCACTCAAGCCACTTATCGCCACCTACCTGTGTGATGGTGTAAGCAATGACAAATGTTGGTAATATTCTGTTTCTTTCTCATTTACATATTGCATAAAACATAATATTGCATTTAATAGATGTAAAATGTATCTAATTATTCTCGGTTTCATTTAATAGTATTATTATTGGGTTGATTAGGAGTGATTTTGTTTAGAAATAAGATCTCTTCATGAAGGTAAAGGTTGATATAAAGTGACTTTACTCAGAAGCAGCTGTCCATCAGGAGTCTGTAATATGCCACATAGGCCTCTAATGGACTTGAATTCAAATGTTGCTCAGATCAGATGTGCCGAGCCCCTCTTTCTTGCTATTTGACTCATTTGCTGCTCAATTTCTATTGATTTCCCCGTATCCTTGTCCATCTAGCATCCCTTTCTCAGAATGCTTAGAAACGCAGGGATTGCCGGAGAATGTGATGAAGTTCAGAAAGAGCGAGATGGAGGCTCATTAGGTTGATTCTCAGGTTAAGAGCTTTGCTCGCTGTGCTGTAGGCAGCCAGTATAAGACAGACCTTGCATGTTCAGGGCTCAGAGAATGTGAGTTCTCCCATTAAAAGCCCATCTGTGGGAATGGGGCTCCTAAATGCTCTGAAACGGCACACTCGGGCAGAGAGCTTCAGCGAGAGTGGCCTGTGCTCAAACCAGGCTAATTTGATATAATGATCTCTTATCTGCCGTCTTTCTCCCTCTCTGTTTTTCCTCTCGTTCTCGAATAGACTCTGTCTTTATCTTCGTCTGTTATCGCTCTCTCTCATTACTTCTGATTTTCACCCTTGAATTTCCCTCGTTTTCCGCTTTTCATTCATTTTCAGTTTTTCGTTTCAATTGAATTGCTCGTTGTTACCATTTATTTGCCTTTTGTGTTTTTTTGACTGTGGGCACTTTTAGCCCTGTGGACTTTTACAAAACAAGCTCTTTTGAAACACTTTTCACTTTTGACATTTTTTAATTTGTATTTTTATTTTTTTTATTATTATTTTTTTTTTGGTCAAATAACAATGTGTAATAGTGTTTGTACATGCTTCACAAGAAAATAATTTTGCCAAAACCATTATTTCTCTTAAACAACAAAAGTCAGTCAGTCAGTGGTCAGTGTTGGTGATAGAAATAGCTTTTTATACATTTTTGGACTAATTTATATTAACTAATAATAATGAAAACTATTGTAATAATATACTATATATTATACTATATAATTTCCCAATGTGTCCTAAATATATAAAATTCAATACAATTTTAACACTTTTTCCACAATTTGAGACACATTATATTTCATTTTTTTTTTTTTTTTTTTTTTTTTTTTTTTGTGACAATGGTTTTGGTCATGGTGGTAATTGCAGAAAACTGAGATTCAGTCATAATTTGTGCAAAAATTGAAATATTTTTTGCATAAATACAGAAAATGGTACACAAAAATATTGAAATAGACTGTTTTATTCTGTTTAGCTCATCATGTTTTTTAAATTATTATTAATGATTGCTGTTATTATTATTGTTGTTGTTGTATGATTTGTTTTCATATTTCATGAACCAAAAAGAAACAACACAATCTCATGGTAAATCATAACTATTTTACATTTTGGCAAATTGATGGCTTATTCTTGCATCCCATTCATACATTTTCAAATGATCTGCATAAGATCAGCCCTTACGCCCCACTGATGGTTATGTTTATCTTACGTATTTTTCTTATAATCTTATGTTTTCATATGATGCACACTGCATGAATTCATATGAAATCGCCGCCTTGTAAAACAGGTACAATTTCTCATAATATTAGGCTGAAATGAATGACAAAGGTCTGTTTTTTTAGACTATTTTTAATGTGACAGCCATATAACAAAAAAATCTGTCACTATAAGTTGAAATCTGTCACTGTTCACTCCCCCTCCTGTTCCACTTTTAAAATTCATGTGGATTTTTTTTTGGTTACACTTTATTTCGATAGTCCACTTTAGACATTCTACTAACTATAAGTAACTTTGTAACTACATGTCAACTACATGTCAACTAATTCTCATTAATTTGCAACTACATGTCTACTAACTCTCAGAGTAGACTGTTAGGGTAGGTTTAGGGTTAGTAGAATAAGTTGACAAAGTGTTCGACGATATTAAGCAGACAGTCTACTAATACTCTACTAACTGCTAGTTGACATGTAGCAACAGATGTCAAGTTTCAAAAAGCAATTTAAAGCCAGAAACGTCATCTGAATCCATCTGATAGTTGTGCGAGTGCTTTCTAACTAATTGTGACCTTATCTGTGTGTCTGTCCGCAGACAGCACTGCCAGCATCATCGCCAGACGGCGGCGGTTCAACAGACTGACACAGGAACTGTACGAGCTCCCGCTGGTGGTGTGGGATGACGGGGAACCCGTCCTGAGCAGTACCAGTACCCTGACGCTCAGGGTGTGTTCCTGCCAGAGAGGCACCAGACTGAAGATCTGCCAGGGTGAAGCGTTCCTCTCCTCCGCAGGGCTCAGCACTGGTGCTCTCATTGCCATACTGCTCTGTGTGCTGATTTTACTGGGTGAGTTCAACCTGGAAATGATGCCTGAGTATTTTGCCAGTGCCTGTGAGATATATATATATATATATAAACCTCAGACACATCATCCTTCAGATTGTGAGAGCAACATAATCAATTACTTATGAACAGGGCCAAAAGAAACATATAGGAACTCAATATAAATGCTGTTAATTATAGGTAATGTTATATGGCATTAATAAAGCTTTTAACTTATTTAACATACATACTTTTTGAGTAAAACTGAATATTAAGAATTAATAATCTAATGATTGTTTTTGTACGATTATGGATGTTAGGTGATAATATTATTGCTTAATTTAAATGAATGACTGTGAAATGAAATGTAAAATAATATTACACAATATACAATTCAAGTAAATTAAAAATATAATTATTATTAGTATTATTATTATTATAAGACTATGTATATGATGTAAGTCAGTTTTAAATAGCATTTTAATGTAAATTTAATGTACTGTGAAATATAAATAATGAATAATACAAATAACAAATAACATAATATAAAGAGAAATTGTTATATTAAGTCAATTAAAAATATAATTATTAGTAGTATTATTGGTAGTATTATTATTATTATAAGACTACATATATGTGCATATACAGTAGTCAACATTTGAAGTGGATCAAAACCTTTCATCAAAGTTGTCCAAAAACAAAAATTTGTTCTTGTCTTAGGACAACTTTGATGAACTTTTTTGATCCAATTC